ATTAGTTGATTCCAATTGATAAGGGCCAGTCAATTGCCAACTAAAATATTCCTGTGAGTCATTCCTTTCCTTACATAACAATCCAAATCAATCCAAATTTATAAGAGTTGAGCATCTTTAAACAGACATTAAAAAGAACAAGGGTAAATTGTTGAAACCTCCCTTGAAGTTTAGTAATTGCAATCACATCTCTTAAACTTTCTAATACAGTTGCAAGTAGACCCCCTTTTGGTAGAATCTTCTAAAAAAAGGCATGAAAAAGTCCAAAATACCCATACGATTACTATTGAGGCTGGTTTCTATGGGAAAAAACAATACAAACTTTATGTACAGCAAAAGAAAGAGAATTTAAAGTTGCAGCTTTACCTTTGAGTGATTGATATGAAGGGCAAATTTAGAAAATAAATCAATTTCAGAAAAAAGATGGAAAGGGTTTAGGGTAGTGATTCATATGAAGAGAAAATTTGGAAAACAAACATTTTTTTTTAATTAATTGCATGGGTATTTTGGACATTTTCATGCCATTTTTTATAAAATTATACCAGGGGGTCTACTTACAACTATGTCAAAAAGTTCAGAAGAGATGATTGCAATTAACAAACTTTAGAGAAAGTTTTAGCAACAGATAAAAACTTCAGAGGAGGTTTCAGCAATTTACCAAAAAAAACAAAGGAAAATTGAAGAGGAAAGAGGAGGGATAGTTCTTGCAAGGAGAGAGGTTTTGTCATTTTGATGGAAACATGAGTGGCAATAGGGTGGGTTAGGATACATCCCATTAGCCCATTTAACACCCATCTTCATAGAGCCTAATTGGGTATGATCCACGTCCATTATCCTCCGTAGAGCAAGATACAGATAGAGAAATGGGTGTTTGCCGTTTGGCAATTTCATCAAATGGGTGCCCAAATGCTCACTCATTAGGCAACCCAGACTCGCACTTAGCAAGTATTGTATCATAGCCTTCATTACCAAAAAAAAAAAAAGCAAACCATATCCTTGATAGGAATAATACTCTTTTTCTATTCCACTTTTATTTATATTCTTAAGCTAGACAATACATTGAATGGAGCAAAACAATGACTAGAAAAAGAAAAAAGAAATATGATTGAGAGAGACATTTTAAAGACATATTTTATATCAAAAAGAACAAATAATTTTATATTATCATTTAAATTTATTTTATCTTTATATCAAAGTAAATTTAAATAAATAAATAAATATTATAGGATTTACCTGGTCAACCCTTTTATGAAAAGAACATCCAAAAAATTAAACTGTTTGGCTGGCAATTCTTATTGCTTCCTCCTCAACTCACTACACTTCACCCACCTTTGGGCACCCCACTTACCCACAAGTTCGTCCACATTTTCAACTCCTTGCCAAGTTGATTGTGAGAGGATAAACCCAAGTTTTAGAGAACAAAAAGGATCAGTGGGCAGTCAGTCCACTCATTAGATGAGTTTCTTGAATTTGATTGAAATTACTCGCAAAAATGCACCTTTCTGATTTGGGTTTTTGGTTTGACTCGAAATTCTTCAAACCCATCTCTAAGAAAACACCAAATGACACAGAACCAAAATGGGTTTCTTGAGTTTGATTGAAATAATTCACAAAAATGCAAAATTTTAATCTAGGTCTTTGGTCTGACTCAAAATTCTTTAAAGTAGAAGATAATGAATAATGCTTTTTTTTTAGGGTAAATTTCTTAAACTATCTTTACGTTTAAATTAATTGACAAAGTGTATCCTTATTGTTTGAAAATTGACTAACACTACCCCTACAGTTTCTAATAATTGACTAACTCTACCCTTACTATTAACATCTGTTAGTATTCTCTCAAAACCTGCATACACATGAGACCATGTGACGTTTAAAATTCTTTTAAAACCCAATATTACTCCTCCCTCGCCCCCTTCCTCTGACCGGCAACCCCCTTCTCCTCAGACCTCCGGTCTCTTTTCTCTTACCTCTCTATTTTTCTCTCTCTTACCTAGGATCGTGTAGGTATAATCGCTTGGAGGAGCAAATCTGGATTTTGATGGCTGACGAAGAGACCAGAGGCTGTTGCTCGAGATGTATTGATGGCTGATAGAGAGATCGAATCAGATTTGCAGTGGCAACTTTTATTCCATCAACACTAATTATTCTAGCAACAGGAAAGAAAGTAAGCCAAGGAGAGATCCYGGGAAAGCGAAAGCCAAGAAGACCATCTTCAATAGTTGTGGATTCTAATTCACTTCCTCACAGAGCACAGAGAAGGAGATGGATCTTGACGCTCTGCTCCCCGGAGAACCTGAAGAAGGAAAGCATGACTGACTGAAATGTGCATGCAGAAGACCAAAGGATTCCTGACTCTCCTTTCTTTTATTTTTTTGGCCTTCTACACGCACATTTAAGTCAGTTTTCCATCCTTCGTCCGATGTGACTAGGAAGAGCTGCCTCATAACAAAACCAGTCGGCATCATCATATTACCGTTCTCTGAATCACCTTCGTCGTCGTTGTCCTCATCAGCAACAGCCTCTTTTTTTAGAATATCAAAGCTGAAGGCGAAGAGATCGTCGCCGCCAGCACGCCTATCATGAGTTGAACAGGAATCATCATCTCCTCCGTTGCTCGAAGCATCAACATTGACAACGGAGGAATTTGAAGAGCCGGAATCATCCATTTGGTAGTCAAAACCCACCGAAAGCTTGCCAATCATCACCTTATCTCCATCGCAGGTCAAATTAGCGGAAACAACATTAAGATACAACATCACGGCTTCTAATTTGTCAACAATTTATGTAGTTTACTTGTACTTTGTCTCTTTCCTTCTTTGATTGATCTTGCATCCTTAAGCCAAGAAAACTCCAAAAGAGTGTTTATATGTGTATCTAATGAAGAAGAGACAGAGCAGGTAAAGGTATTGGCTAGATAAAATAGAGAGGCGTCTAAGGAACATTAGCTCTTCAACACCCAGAAATCACTGTTACATTCTAGTCCTTTTACATCGCATTTAGAGGACTATTCTCTCTCTCTCTCTCTCTCCTTCTTTGTCAACTTCACCACCCCTATTTTTCCTTCCCTACCATCCCCGCTGCACTCTTAGCTGCGGCGATTTAGATTGAACCTCCTTCACCGGATAACATGTATCTAAAATCTAAACAATAAAAGGCGATCATTTCTAATATGGGTTTTAGATCAGAAACAATTAGTTTTTTCTCTCAAATCTTCGCTTCCTTCGATCTCTTTGGTGGCTTCATCCAGTTGAGTTTAAGGGTAAAACAATCATTTTACATTTTTTCGTCCATGTTTAATGGTCCTGGTAATGTTTCGACAATTGTCAGAAACAATAAGGGTAGCATCAGTCAATTTTCAAACATTAAGGGTACACTTGTCAATTAGTTAAATCATAAGGGTAGTTTAAGAAATTACCCTTTTTTTTGAAAGGTAGTGTTGCTATCGATTTGGAACCAAAGGTAGTGTAGTAGTTTCCAAGGCGTAAAGGTTGCAGGTCCCACTTACTAAGAGTGAAAGGACATCAAAGGCCCCGATAGTGTTCCCAGGGGCGAAGACTCCGATAGTCAAGTCAATTAAGGGCTCAAAGTAAAGCCGAGGTCACAACAGGAGAGTAAGTGCTAGCTTGAGTATGTGTTTTCGTATCTTTAGCCGTGATTTATAGTTAGAGCCATCCAAGAGAGGAGTAATGAACAACGAGTAACCGTCTCATAGATCACTGTCACGTAGAGGGGAGCTAGAGAGGCGTCAGCTGGTCAAAATCCTTTCATAAGTGTGTCGAGGGTAAATTCATTGAGAATGTGTGCCTGTAATAAACGCTCCTTAATGGCATGCCGTGGGAGTTACCTTGTTGCCCTCGGTAGTGTGTAGATTGATAGGGGTGCCTTGGGCGATGCTACATGTCAAGGTACCGACCGAATATACCTACATCATATGGTTTTGATATTCTAAAAATTTTAATGGGAAAATTCCCGATGAGTGCCCTGACCCCTGTACTTTTTCAAGTGACAATTTGGTCATTGAACTTTAAAATGCAACAATCCAGTACCTGAACTTTTAAAATGTGACAATCCAGTACTCGAACTTTCAAAATGTGACAATCCAGTACCTATCGTTAACCAATCCGTTAATAAACTTTTAAGTGACATTTGAAAAGTCAAAAATGCCCTTAGAATGCCATTTAATTCTCTTTATCAACCAGTCAAACATTGACAATAAAATGAATAGTCTCAAATTCTATCTTCTTCTAAACAGTCACCAACTTTTTTGAATAGAAGAGGCTAGGATTTGGGACTCTTCATTTTTTTGTCACATTTGGATGGTTGATAAAGAGAATTAAATAACATTCAAATGGCACTTTTGACTTTTCAAATGACACTTAACCATTGATTAATGGACTGATCAATGGTAGGTACTGGATTGTCACATTTTAAAAATTTGAATACTGGATTGTCGCATTTTAAATTTGGTCGACTCTAGTCAAAGTAAGAGTATTGATCGAGAATTTTCACAATTTTAAATTATATATATCTATCACATGATATAATAAATGATGAAATATTAACGAGATACTAAATTTACACATTTTGAAAGTTTAGACTTTAGATACTGAATTGATACAATTTAGGGGACCAAATGAGATTAGCCTAATGTAAACGACACGAATATGTAATTTTTCTTTTAAAAGGTCATCTTATGCCACCTGCACAACCTTTCTTTTACCACGTGTCATTTTGACACTTCAGTAGTGGAGAACCGAACAGTCTAGCATGTCACCTCTAAAAAAAGGAAAGGAAATAGTAGACAAAAATCCAAAAAGGTTTGTTCGGTAATCGGTCAAAGCGCTCGTACCCCAAGCATCCAACACCTTCAAATATCCTTTTGTCTAATAGATCTTCGCCGTTAAATCAACGAGGCCAGAGAAAGTAAGAGCCATGATTATAATTTCTTAACCAGATGAGGGTGAAACTCTAGCTAGTTAGAATGTGAGGGTTTAAATTTTTGAAAGAAAAATTCCGAGGGGGATTGGGATTTACTGAATTTGGGAGAGATACGGGGGCAGATATTGAAAAGGGGGTATGTGTTTTTTGGTCTCCTGTTGAGCTGAGTAAAGTGAGAGCCTGAGAGAGGAGTATTCAGTTCAGACGCGACTCGAGAGAGAGAGAGAGAGAAAAGATGTCGGACGACGATCATCACTTTGAGTCGAAGGCCGATGCTGGAGCATCCAAGACCTTTCCTCAGCAGGCTGGAACCATCCGTAAAAACGGCTACATCGTCATTAAGGGAAGGCCCTGCAAGGTATCAATTGTTGATCTATAAATCTCTCTATGCATGTCTGTGTTTGTTTTTCTTCTTCTAAATTACTTATCGCTTGAAGAAGGCATTCATTTGGGAAATTGAGTCTCTGCAAGATCTCAATGATTTACTTGACTCTCAAAATTTATTGTCTGCTAGATTTCATTCCTCGTGGATATTGTTTTTTATTTATCTGGTGCATTTTTGTTTAATTAATGCATAGGTGCTTTTCATTTCTTTTTCTTTTTTCCTTTTTTTTTCATAAGTTCTGCTTGGGCTATGTTTTTGTTCAGGATTGTTGTTGTTTTTCTGTTCTTTTTCTAGTATTCGAACCTCCATGATATGTGGGTTCTCTCTCTTTTTATTACTTTCCTCTTTTAATGAGTTTTCAGTGGTATTTTATTTTTTTCCTGGTTGTTCCAAATTATATGGGAGTCTTTATATTCTATTAGGTGGGTCAATATGGATATTTATCCAGATATTTCGTTTTCCTATCAGGTATTGTTTTCTGGTTTCAAAGGACTTGTTATTAGCAAATTTATATTCCCTCATAATTTCTGCAACGACATCTCTTTGTGCAAATCTTCTCGTAGAAATTGGACTTTCTTTCTGGGTTCTTGGATACTATAATTGGAGTTGTCAGGTTTTTGTAATTTTGGTGACATCTTAGATGTCCTGGTTCAGTTACGAAGTTGGATTGTTCTGTTAGAGAAGCTCATATTAGGAAGGGTATCGTTTTTGCTTCAATAGCATCGCCTGTGGCTGAATTTGTTCTCGTTGGTAATGGAATTCCTGTTGGTTTTGATTTCCAGATTAATTTAATTTTGTTATTGGTACTTTATCTATTGTGTTTCAAACGCAATAGCATACACATTAGTGTTTTTATAATTTATTGTGCTCAATATGTATAAACTTATGCTGATACTGAGGATCTTTGTTTTTCCTGTGAATATATTATTGTTATGACTGGTAGTGTTCTTGCTTTTGCTAAGTGGTGCTATTTTGTATTGTAAGTCCTGTTGGTTTTGCTTCCTAGATTAGTTTAATTTTGTTTTTGGTATTTTCTATAAAGGATTTTAAGCTCTAAGCGTTTATGTTAATTTTCTAACAATTTTCTGTGTTTATGATGTATAAGCTTGTTCTGATCCTGAGGAAGTGAGGATCTCTGTCATTTCCATGAGTATGGATGTTGCAGTTAGGACTTAGGTGTTATTATTGTTATGACTGGTAGTGGGAAATTTGAAGTGGTGTGGCCGTGGGGGCCTCTTTTATAATGACGTTTTTATAGTTTTTTGCCTCTTCCCTCTCATGAGATTACCATGTATCTAGCCATTTGAGTTGAAGGGAGTGACCATAAGTTGAATACTGAGGTTTTGTGGGCTAGTCTTGTTGGTTTCTGCTTAGGCTTTGTGGGTGCTCATTATGTTACCTTAAGCTAGGATGCTTATGGAAGTGGGAAGTTAATGGAAAGTTGTATGTTGTATCTTACTTTCATGCCTTTACTCATTTTGAAGTTGTCCTGGATAATGCTAAGAAGATTTAGGGGCTCTAGCCTCTCCTCAGATTGTTCTTTTCTGCTGTGAACAGTGAACTGCTACTTTTGGAACATAGTTTATGGTGAATTATTCTATCTTTGTACAGTAATCAGTGTGGATGTTTTTTATGTTGTGTTTACTGTTTCATTGCAGTCATGCTTGGAGCATGTGGCACCACTTCATTCTTCTTTTGGTGTTTATTATCATTCTAGGATCATTATCCTTGTAATATGGGTGTTGGTCTTGTGAGAATTTGCCCAAGGAGACCTCATTTGAGATTTTCATTCTGGTTTTCTTATTGGGTCTTTTGGGAAGAATGATATGTCTGGACTTTTGTAGGAATTGAGTCATGATGGAAGGTGTGGCCATTTTATTTAAATCATTGGAAGATGCCCCCAGTGCATTTAAATGCTGGTTGCGTGTGATGTGGGAAGGTGGGGCTCAATGATGAGCTGGTTGTTCCAAGAGTTTTTTTTTTTTTTTTTTCTTTTTTGAATTAATAGTTAAGAAAAGGAAGAGTTCGGATGGTGTCGTTCATTCCTCTCTCTCTCTCGTATAGATACATATTCCAGATTTCTTCCTTGAGACCTCAATATGTCAGAAAATCTCTCTTCCATGCAGTGATTTAAAAGGTGTGTGGCGTGCCTAGGTGCTCAGGCGAGGTGCATTTTAAGGTATGCGCCTAGGCCCTAGGCATAACACTTTCAAAAGGTGTGCCTGGTGTGCCTTTTTTAATTTTTGTGCAGCGTCTGCCTTTTGTTTTTTTTTTTTTTGACCCAACGGTTCACTCACTTTGCTTGCTCATCGAAGCTCTACAAACACCCTCTTTGCTAATGTTGTTCATTCATTCATGATTCATCCTAATAAAATATCTTCTTAAAAGGCAATTAAAATTATAAAATCATTTTATTTTGTGTGAGGATTAAGAATTTAAGACCCTAATATGGACTTGTTTGGGCTTGCCTCAAGGGGCATGGTACAAAGGTGGCTCGTAGAAGCATGATGCAAAATGTTTCACATCACATTAGCTATTAAAAGTAATGCAATTGAGGAAAAGAGAGCTTGTGGGTTTTACATGCCTGAAAATGTTTTATATGTTTGATTTTATTTTTAAATTTTCATTTGAATACGCTTTACATGTTATGCTTATGTAATTTTTTTTGAATCTCTTGTTTTTTTTTTTTTTTGTATTTTTGCACCTTGCTTCAGAAGGGCATGTGCCTTGTGCCTTGCACCTCAGCGCAAATTGCCCCTTGTGCTTTTAAAACACAGCTTTCATGGAGCTACTTGGTGAGTCAGGGGCTGTTGATAACAGTTGAAGCGGCTGAACTGAAAAGCATATTGCTTTTGTCTTTCAGTAAATAAGATTTTAAGAAGGTCGGGGGCTCCTTAATGGCTGAAGTTGGAAGTTGGGAGGTTACTATTACCCTTGAATATTTTATTGTTTAATTATATATCCACTGAAAGACAGTAATAAGTCATTCAGTTCAGCAACTTCATCTTTTATGTTACCAAATGGCCCCTTAGTATGTCTATACTCTGTGTAAACGAAGCAATGCTGAATCTGCCATTTTTAAATGATAGAGAACAAGACCTGGCCACCCTACTTTCCTTAAATGGTTGGAGTCTGCTCTGCTGTAGATTACTTATTTCATAATTTGTGCTTATTACATGATCACTATTTATTTACTATTAGTCTTATTATTTTGATTGCATTTGCTTTAATGTGAATAACTGAATGCAATCGTGCTCTATGTTAAGGTTGTGTAATTTTATTGTTAAAAAAATGTTGTGTAGTGTAGGCTTTTACAATTTGAATGACTTTTCAGCCCTGCCTGTTTGCAATGGATGATGCCGAGCTTCATAGTCTACCCTAATTTATGACTTTCTTTTTTCTTTTTGTATGTGTGTTTTTCTCTGCATACAGGTTGTTGAGGTCTCTACCTCCAAAACAGGGAAGCATGGTCATGCCAAGTGTCACTTTGTGGGTATTGATATATTTAATGGGAAGAAGCTTGAAGATATAGTACCTTCCTCCCACAACTGTGATGTAATCTTCCTTTCCCCTCATTTTCTAATTTATTTGTTTATCTATTTATTTTTTTTGCGGGACTTCTTTCTTTGCCTTGCTTTTCTGGAACCTTTTCCATGGGTGTTATAGACTATTATTGGTTGGCTAGTCACTTTTTTTTTTATATCTTTTGCAGGCTCCCCATGTTAATCGCACTGACTATCAGCTGATTGACATCTCTGAAGATGGTTTTGTAAGTTATTTACTCAGAAAGTTTCATTATTCCATTTTAGTTTATAATGAGCCATGGTAGTGAGTTAGTGCTTAGTATGGCATGAAAAGGTGAAGATTACATTTCAAATTCATAATACAGAGGATATAGTATAGTATGTATAGGTACTTACTCCCATTATTTGATTATTAACCTGTGTATATAGTATATTATTAAGTATTGGAAAATCTATGATGCCATGAATTGATAATATTGGGAGAGCTTTTACCAATCAAAACCCCCATGAATTTAAATAAGAACATCTAATTTGTTATCACTTTCATGATACCAGTTGATTGTTTATTAGTTCTTTTGGTATCATAGTCAAACCCTAATAAATGTATCTTATAAGAAATAACATATATAGTAAAAAGGGTTTAGGGAGGATTCAAATCCTTCCCCTTGTGTGATTGTGTCCCATTATTTCTATAACATAAATAGAAATACCATGAACCTTTTTGCATAAGAGGGATGATGGGTTTAATGGATTTGGGATGGGATGGGTTTGGGAAATTGGGAGGAAGAACTAAACGAGTTTGGGATCAAAGGTGCTTAGGCAGGTTTGGGAATGGGAAGGCAATTTTCATGGGTACTCTACCTGTTGCCATCTCTAATAGAGAGGAAAAAGTGAAATTTATAGATTTCATTCCTTATTGTAGGAGAGAGTAAGGGCAATTTTTTATGGAGTGTGAACAGGTTACTGGAAAAGTGGGGTTTTATGAAAGTGGCAGTGCTTTAAATACCACAGGTGTGCCGATGCTCACAGGCTAGGCTCACTTTGTGGGGTGCACCTCACCTGATCCCAAGTGAGACTCATCTGTCTTGGCTATGTTTTGATTAATTAACCTTGATTTTTAAAATTGAGCATGTAATTTACAATTCTAGTATACTGTAGGTTATAATTATGATATTTAGAGTTTAGACAGTTATGCCTATTTGGGACTCCAATATTTTAGATTACACCATTTGTATTAATGACATTAGTGCTCACAGCCTCTAACGAATTGAACTAATTGGCTTTTTGAAATATTTCAATGATTCAACATACAGATTTATATAAAATTTATTTATAGTCTTTTTTTTTCCGAAGTGGCACCTCTCTCCTTCCAGGTGTGTGCCTTGCCTTGTGTCTTAGGCTTCGGGAATCCCTTCCAGTCTAGTTGTGCTTCAAGCTTTACAAATACTTGAAAGAGACTGGAGTGACCAAGCTAGCTAGCTTGAGTTGGGGGTTTGGGATCCACATGGTGAACTTTAGGCTCAGTTTGGAAGGAGTACAAATGCAAATTTGTTGTGTAAAACCTTGTATTTTGTATAATTTTGTATGTATTTGCACTCTATAAATTTGCATTTGTACTCCTTCCAAACTGAGCCTTAGAGGAAATCTACCAATGGAGACAATTGGATTTGTCACTTTTAGTTTCTTGTAAGGATCTTTGGGTTTGTACTTCTCACAATATGGATTAAGAGATATATAGGATAAGGACCAGTTTGACTCTTGGCCGTGCAAAGTATTACTCACGTGGAAAATTGATTGGTGGTGGTGATGCATCTGACATCAGCTCCTTTACACACAATCCGATCTGCTAGTACAAAAAAAGCTTGGCACGTCACCATTTGGTGCCACCTTTCCTCAACACATGAGAAATGCAGTTGTGCACATTATTTTTTAAAAACTCATACTTGTTGAGGGCATATTTTTAAAAACTGTGAAGTGCCTAGCATTGTTTGTTATTATTCAGTAAATTAAATCAATTTTGGTAAGTTTTCATTTAGCAAACTAATTGTGGTTGTGGTTGTGTAGGTGAGTCTTCTCACTGAAAGTGGGAACACCAAGGATGATTTGAGGCTTCCCACTGATGATAATCTGCTCACCCAGGTTTGGATTTGGAGTAGTTTTCACTTTTCAAGAACCCATTACTCAAGTGCAATTTCTGTTACTTAAACTATTGGCTACCATAGGTGGACTTGGGCTTTGATGATTTATATTTTCTACATACAGATTAAAGATGGGTTTGCTGAAGGAAAGGATCTCGTGGTGACGGTCATGTCGGCAATGGGAGAAGAGCAGATCTGCGCCCTCAAGGACATTGGCCCCAAGAACTAAACTGTGAAGCTAGATATCTTGCTATATTTTATAATTATACAGAGACAATTCAGTTCTTTTTCTGCTTTTACAAGTCAATGCATTGTGTGGTAGAACCATTAAAATGATATGGTAGTATTGTAGTTCAATACTCGTTTTCTGCTTTGTAAAGAGGGGTGACATCCCCTTGGTAGAACCATGGGGGTTAGAACTGGAACCTGCCAAGGAGCTACTTTCTACGTCACATTCTTTAATGTTTTTCCAATTAAATACTGAATCCATATATTACGTGAAAGATATGGTTTTAGTTTCATATTACTTGTGCCTAGGATTTGGGATATGCCCAAGGTTCAAAATATGGATACGCTCGGGCGTACCGGGCGATATCAATAGTGTTTTTTACTGGCGTATCGGGTGATATCGATAATGTTTTTTTTTTTTTTTTCAAAACTGGTTTAAGGGCTGGTTTAAGGTTTCTCTGCCCCCTGAATCGGTTAGAACCCTGATATATCGAGAAGTGACTGGCACGATATATATTGGCTTATATGGGTTGATACGTATCGATACTTTGAACCTTGGATATGTCTAGGATTTGGGAAAGTAAACTAATTAGATGAAAAAAGAATATATTTACATCAACATTGTCTAACATGCATAGTAGGGGATATAAAACCTACAAAGGCATACAATCTTGGGAGTTCATTAGTTCATTGTAACTGACCCAATTATTAATCAGAACAAAATCATGGGACCTGAACCGACATAATCGGTTTGGTTCAGTTTGGGCGGTCAGGTAGAATCAACCCATTGGCAGCCCTATTGATACTTGTGAAGTCTTATGGGCTCTTAATCTTCTAATCGCCTGGAGGTGGTCTACAGTACACGTCCATCATGCAAAGATTCAAGGAAACAACAACGTTCACTTGAAAGGGAGAGAGGGAGAGAGACAGAGTTGGCCGGAGGGAGAGACACAACAGCATCTGAGGGGAATAGAAATGAGAGACAGAGTGAGAGGGGGAGAGACGGAGGGAGAGAGGAAGAGGGGAACATAAACGAGAGGCAGAGTGAGAGAGGAAGAGGGGAACATAAATGAGAGACAGAGTGAGAGAGGGAGAGAGACAACGATTGTTGGAAACAACAGCGTTCACTTGCCTGTGACTCGCCGTGCGATGGTGAGAGACAATGAAAGCCGGCCCCTGTGACTCGCCGTGGCGGGATGGTGAAAGACAACGAAAGCCGGTCCCTATGACTCACTGTGGGATGGTGAGAGACAACCAAAGCCAGTTGGTCAGAGTTGGCAGAGACGGATATGAGAGACCGAGTGAGAGACGGAAAGAGGGGGAGAGATAAAGTGAGAGAGGGAAAGAGTGGGAGAGGGAAATAGAGAGAGAGAGAGGGAAATAGAGAGAAAGAGAGAGAACAGGAAGAGAAAGGGGAGTGAACCTCGGAGGGGGTTGAAAGAGGAAGATTGAGACGGGGTGTGAGAGTCGCACCAGTATTGATGTTTTTGGCTTTTGCATTCTGATTTAATGCCCCGCTTGTGTAGATTCCATTTACTCTACGCTCAGGTGGCCACGTATCTCGATTCTGTAGATAGATAGATAGAGAGATGGGGTGTGAGAGTCGCACGAGTATTGATGTTTTCGCATGCTGACTTAATGCCCAGCTCGTGTGGATTCCATTTACTCTACGCTTAGGTGGCCACGTATCCTCATTCTGTATATATATATATTATCAAAAATCTAGTTTTAAGTTGTTACCAAGGTTCAAAGTATCGATATGTATTGGACTGTATCGACTAATATATATCGTACCAGTGGCTTCCTAATATGTTCCTACAGGGAGTGTATCAAGGTTCTGACCAATTTAAAGGGTGGAGGAACCTTAAACCGCCCCCTGAATTAGTTTTGAAAAGAAAATAAAAAGAAAGCAAAAGAAAAACACTACTGATATCGCCTGATACACCTCTACGAACGTATCAAGCATATCAATATTTTAAACTTTGATGAAAATATGTATGTGTACATACGGTTGAATTAATGACCAGACAACTGAAGGAAAAATAATATTTTTTTGAAAAGTGGCTTTTAAAACATTTTATAAGTGCAAACTAATATTGTTATGTTTATGTCTATAAAGGGTCATTTAAAATAACCCCTGTAATTTTGCATATTTAATAAAACCTATCTATAATTTATATATAGTAGTCTATACTTTGCAAATGTATTATCTATTACCAGTTTTATTTACTTAAGTACAAAATGACATTTTTAACCTTAATGTCGATTTGATTAAATTAATTAGAACCTTGACCATCTAGCTCTTAACACTGATGATCTCGCAGGTCAAAACTTTTGGTGGTTTGACCTGTCAATACGACGGTGGTAGGAAGCTGTTAGACGAAAGTATGAAGTGTGGGCATGTGGTATCAAAGGGTTGCGTTTCTGTGTCTTGAATTCTTAGTTGTCGTTCGCCCCATGACCCGACCCAACACTTGTAAAGAACCCAAAAGGAAAAAAATTCTTTGAGGTCTGTGCAGGGGCTGAGCTCTGGCAGTATAAACCTGACCCATTTTTATATGGGTCCCATACCTGTTTCTAGGGTTTGACATCACAAAGAATGATCAAGAGACTGGGTTTTATGGAGTCCGGATCTCTTGCTCCTGCCCACACAAACTCTGTCCACCTTTACCCACAGAACACTGCAGTCGAATATCTCATCCTCCTACGTAATATTATGAAGAAAGAGAAGTTCTTAATTTACGGGAATAGTGTACTGTGAGTAGAAGTGGGCAGAGTTTTCGTAGGCAGAAGATCCGGAATTGGTTTTGAGTGTTAAGTGCACTAGATTTTTCAGAGGTGCTGTTTATACCTGTACCCATTGTTATGTGTTGTTATAATGGATTTTTTCTCCTATTCATTTTAATTGTATATGTGTATTTATGTATGAAATATACATTTGTTAATGAAATTTACGCATTGTTTTTCAATCCATCGATTCCATTCTACTTTGGGAATTAGACGAACAAAGCCCAATAATAGATGGTTGTATAAAAATATACTCCTAAATCCTTTCAAATCCCATTAGGCCTGATTAGGCTCGGTTTGATCCAAACCAACTCTGAATCCAGCCTATGTTGTATTAGGATTAAAGTCGAAATCCAGCTTATGTTTCACTCAGAGTTGATTTTCAATTTTCACCTTAAGCTGTGCTCAAAAAAAAAAAAAAAAAAAAAACGAAAAGAAAATAGCATCTTAAGCTTAGGCCAGGATGACCACCCCTAATTTTCAATTTTCATCAAAGCGCACGTCTATCATCATGTTGGGATCAGTTAAAGAAATAAATAACGCATCTTCTTCTGTGCAAAAAGTAAAATAACTCTTCCAAATATCAAAATCTAATACCAGGAAATATTTCAAAGATCCACTCATGTCTATAATCTATCAATCAAATACTCAATTAGGCAAAAGTTATCTCATCTTTCTCACTTTGAATTTAGGTGATAATTTCATCCACAGGCAGCTAACAACCGTTATGCTGAGCACTAATGCTGCATGCATGCTTTTACTACAATGTTCTGGATATTAACCTAACCATTGTGCCTACTTTATGGGCTCCCTTCACTATTACTGCTCAAAATTGCACCATAAACAAGCAGGTAAAGAAAAAAATAAACAACCAATAATTTATGAGAATTATTATAATATACTAATTTCTACTAATTATATTATATTTATTATATGATAGTTTATTGGTAAATTATAATAATTTATCCATTTTATGGAATTTAATGGCTAGTTTTGGACATTTCTACTAATTTATGATAATTTTTGGTAAATTATTTTAGTGTATTTAGGATTATATTATTTGATAATTTTAAGTAATTATCATCCTAAAGTCTACTAATTTGTGATAATTTCTTTTTATTTTTATTAATTTTTTTATAAATATTGGTAATTTATGTATAATGGTGGTAATTTCTTTTAATTTATATTTGATAATTTTTATAATTATTTGACAATTGTTATTGTTACATTATTTGACAATTTTAGGTATAACAGATTTCAAAAAAAACAATTCAAATAGCAATATTTTTAACTTACAATATGTAAAAATCTTCAACTTACAAAATCTATAAATGTAAACCAAAGCAATTCAAGGTTCAAAGTATTGACACGTATTGGTCTGTATCGGCCAATACGTATTGTGCTGGTGGCTTCCTGGTACGCCCTATAGGGGTTGTATCGGGTGAGCCACTAGTTCAAAGGGTAGCCAAGCCTTAACCCAGCCTCTTTGAATTGATTCTGAAAAAATAAGTAAAACATAAAAAAAAAGCACCGACGCAGGGTGTATCGGCCCGTGTCAATATTTAGAACCTTGAAGAAATTCATTAAGCTAAATGCAAATAGCATTTTTAACTAACATTATGTAACAATCTTCAAAGCACAAAACCCAAAAATTTAAACCAAAGAAATTCAATAAGAAAAAAGACAAAACATTATTTTTAGTGATTTTTGTTAACATTATTTATTAAATATTTAATTATCAACAATATTTATCAATTATAGTAAGTAATTATAACATTTTATTAAATAATCAGTAATGATAGTTTTAATAATATTATTTACTTATTTTTAATATAGCAGTAATTATTAAATTTATGAATAGGATTTATTAAAAATATTCATTAAATTAATGATTACCAAAATTAAATTAAATTATCAGTATTTATATATCAGTAATAGTCAATACTTATAATATTTTATTAAATAATCGATAACTCTTAATAACATTTTTAATTATTTTTTGACATAACAATAATTACTAAATTTATTAACATTATCTATAATTTTAATTTAAAGTAAATATCTATTTATTAACAATATTTATAATAACAGTAATTATTAATTATAATCACTAATTATATATTTAATAAATTACTGTAATAATCAAGAATTATTAAAACCGAGTTAAAATAAATAGATAAAAGTATTTATCTAAACTGGGTTTATATATAAAATCGGATTTGGTATTAATAGTCAGTAATAGTTAGTATCAGTAATGGTTAATAATTATAATCGGTAATTAATCATAATCAGTAATTAAATTACCGCCATTTGGCGAAAGGGGAGACCATCCCTTTCGTATATATATAAAAGATGGCCCTCAACTACTCCCTAGGGGTTAGTAGTAAATGCAATTTGTAATTTTTCTCTCCTCCCTGTTCCCTTTCGTTCTAACCTCTAACTGAACGAACATCCTTCTTCTCTTGCACCGGCATGGATGACTATGTTGACCTCCGATATTTTTAGCAGCGCTTCCAATGGAAAATCAGTTGTTCTAGTCCATTGGGAATCTACATTCTTCTTCTCATTTTCATCATCTAATCGCTATTCGTAAATATCCTTTATCTTTTCCCTTGCCCCTTGACCTTCCCGCCTTCTTCCCTTCCTTGCACTGACGTAGACAGACGAGACGGTGAGGTGAACTTTCTTTTCTTCCCCAGACTCCATAATTGTTGTTTCAACTGAATGGACTACTTGAAGTTCATATTGCAATGTAAAAAAAAATTAGGCAATTTCATGCTATCTATTACTTGTTGGAAGAAATAATTGACGCTGATATTTCTTTGGATTATGAAGAATAGTTCTTGCCTGCTATTTTGTATGAAAGAAATTAGTTTCCCCCATTTTTTTTGTCTGATATCTTGCGTCTTATTGAACCCAACTCAATATTCCATTGTTTAGCCTATAACCTATAGTCGCATTCAAACCCCATCCATTGTGAGTCCATGTTTTTTATGTTTAGTAATTATGCATTTTTTTTGGATTTACAATTTCATTAAGGAAAATATTTTGAAACCATGGCATCAAGGGGAATTTGCACTAGATGTTTGCCAAAACACTTCAGGGACTTTATTTCACAGTTGTCATTAACGAGAGAGCACATTGAAGCTCTGGATGCCACCCCGTTTGGACAACCACTGCAAATTCCACCCACTACATTTGATAAGGTTCTTATGCTCGAGATGGTACAACGATGGGACTCAGAGACCACCACATTCAATTTAGGCAGTGATTGCATTAATCTTGGGTTGGGTCTGAGGTTAGAAGGACATCCCGTGATGACAGATATGGACTCGCCTAATCCAGAGTAACAGAGTTCATTGGTCATTTGTTCAGTGTTACTATCAGTTCCTTCGCACAACTGAGGATAAGCTTTCTTAATATAATGCACAAGGAATCAAATGAATCAATAGAAGATGTGGTCAAGTTGATTCTCTTGCACTTCTTTGATTTTGTGAACTGGATCAATTTGATTCTCTTGCACCTCTTTGTTTCTAAGGGGGCCTGTGTGAGCCTTGTCTGGGCCAATTTTGTGAATGATCTAGCACACATATCAGAATACTCATGGGCGTGATGTGCGCATCAATTCCTCGTACATGCCCTTAATCGTGTTGTCGGAGGTGCTAGTGAGCCTAACAATGATGGTCAACTGTCCTATTAAGGACCTATTTAGGCCCTTAATCGTGTTGTCGGACGTATTTGGAAGCATTTCATCAATCTTTTTTTTTTTTTTTGTTTTCAGTCCAATGGAACAAAGTATTATTCAGGTACTATATTTATATTGATATTTATATTTTAATGCAATTGCAAGCATGATAGTACAAGCACAGTACAACATTTAGGCCATTAGACCCCACCCACTGTTAGGCCATGGTTGTTGAAGTGGCAAAACATGGGGTACACTGGCAGCTTTGACATTAGAGAATTAGCACGAAAAATAACTGTTGGAACGGTAAGTATATGATTGATACTCTCACCCCACCTCCATTCAATGTTCATCAGCTAGGTATTTACATCATTTATATTTTCAGGTGGTTGATACCCTCATTCCATCCAATTATGAAATTATGAGTTAACACCCATATGAGATTTTTCAGAACACCCGATGGAAAAATCAGTTTTTAGAATAATTCAATAGATAGGAGGAGAGTGAAAATAAAGAAGTATGAAATGGGGAAGAAGACAATGGAAAGAAGCCACTTAGCTCTTAAAGAATAGATGATTTCTTTCCATTTTCAGTACTAACTGGAAAATTAGAAACCCTAGAGAGGAAGATATAGAGAAATATAGAGGGAGAGAGAGCTGCTAGAAAGAATGCCGTAGAGAGAGAGAGAGAGAGACCGTTGGAGTGTGGAGACTATTGGAGTGTTAGTTGTATTGGACCATTTAAGTTTGGGCTGGTTTGGCTCTATATAATCTCTTTGACCATCCAACCCATCCAAGTCATATTTAGTTTGGATGGGGTCCAATTAGGGGTGATCATTTCAGTCCGACCCAGCCCGAAAAATCTGGGCTTGGGCTTAGGTTTTTTGTTAAGGCTCGAACCAGGCTGGGGCTGCATCAAGCCTGCAAAATTTAGGGTTGGGTTTGGGCCTAATTTTTTAGGCCTGGCCTGGACATTTATAAATAATATATATCTTCTTTTACTAAACCCTAATCTTCTCGGCTCTCTCTCACCAATTTCACAAAACCACCGTCGTGCCCAATCTCTCTCTCTCTCTCTCTCTCTCTCACCAAAAGACGAATTTTCTAGTGATTAAGACTCCATTGATAAAGATAAATCTGAAGTTTAGAGTGGTTGCAAGTTTTGAGTAATATTGAAACCATTTTCAATATTTTATTACTTATTTATTTACATTAATTTGAACTATTTTTTCTTAGTTTACTAATATCTTTTTTATTTCACTTTTTAAAGTTGTTTTTGTGGATATTACATGAAAATGGACAGTTGTTTTTTTATAAATATTATAGGTTCTAGCCTTCTAGGTTGATTTTTTGTTGATAGAAAAATTAGTTTTTGCTAAAATTATCATTTTTAGCATACTAATGACCAATTAAAACTTAGAAATTACAAGGTATAATTATTTAATTTCTTTGATGTTAGAAGCTTTATTCTTACATATTACTATAGTCTCCACGACAATAAGTGAAAAAAGTATAATTATTTAATTTTGAAACTGAAATACAATAATTAAGCCCAGAATCTTGGCCTAACCCGACCCAGACCCATGTGGGGTCGGGCCTGAGCTTATATTTTTAGGCCCATAATGTGGGTTGTGCTGACCTAGGCCTAGCCTAAGCTTGTTGTTATGAAGGCAAAGCCCGGTCCACGCCATGATCACCCCTAGGTCAAAACTTTTCCATTCACACCCTACTCATATGCACTCTTAAAGGTTTTTTATGAACGTGGTCAAACCAACTCAACCTGCTTTCATTTTATTACCTATTGGAGCTTCTCCCATGTTCCTTCAAATAACTTCATATTTTACCTTTTTTTTTTATAGTTTTCTTCCAAAATGTCTCTTGCTCAATATATGGGAGCCTGCTTTCCAGGAGTGTAAAACCTGAATTGGGCCAATCTGAACAAACCTGATTCAATCTCAACTATAATAGGCTGATTTTTGGCACAGGTGATCTTCCATGCATGAACCATTGACCAAAAATATTAATATAGCCCTGTTTATATGAAAACGAAGAACAAATTTAAACACGTGCTGTAGTGGTATACTGGCACCATGTAGAGTTATTCTGGCATTAACAGTATCCTTTACGTGTGCCTTCCTTTTCCAATATAAGACCAGATTAGTTACTCTGGTCAAAGAATCTTTTTCAGAAAGAGGATGGTAAAACAGGAGAATGCAACAAAATCTCATGTTGGCTACAAACAGAAGATTTTGGTCCACACACCTGGAGAACTTATAAAAAGAACAGGAGGGCAACCACTGTTTGATCCTTTGAACATCTATTTTTTTTTTTTTGCAAATTATGTTTTTAACTCTGTGAGCTATTTACATTATTATATATTTACTAGCGAACTAGCAAATACACAACTATTATGAGCGACAATCTGCTACCTACATGTACCCGCAAGACACTACAACCACATATCAAGAACATCTCCCCATGAATGACAACTGAGATATTCCTCATGTGTGGCTGCAGTACCTTGTGGGTAGCATATATACTATATGTACAAACATGTAGTATATGTGCTGTGTATTGAATATAGTATGTACATGTATATCATCTAATAATATTTGTAAGCATTTTTCTTTTATTCTATTTTTAAACCAACTAATAACCCCTACTTTTCAAAAGAAGGATAAAAAACCTCTATTAGGTATATATGCTGTATATTACATATAGCATGTGCATATCATCTAATAACATTTCTAAGCATTTTTCTTTTATTCTATTTTTACAGTAGCTAATAACCCCTACTTTTTCAAAAGAAGGATAAAACATAAAAGAACCTCTACTGAGTATGGGGAACTATATAATCATTTTTCTTGGGTTTATGCTGGGTTTTATTTTTTTAATTGAGGAACTTTAGCACTCTTCCTTCCCTAGGGGAAGCCTAGTCACATATTTGAAGGAGGAACCCTCTATCTAAAGGCTTTGCTAGTTGGACCATAAAGCATAAGTGAAATTTTGGAAGTGCAAAACATGAGTACGAAGATCAATTCTTTTAGGTTGGGTTAGTCAGCCGTTTACAATTTATGGTTGGTCTTGGAATTAGAAAATATAAGCAAAGTTTGGATTAGAACTGGGTTGAGGAAATGAAAAAACCAACCTAGACTGAACTCAACAACACACATGTACATTTTATCAACACATATCAACATATTCCACTCTTTAACTGGACAGTTTCAAGTTCTTTGGGTTGTCCAGTTTTGTTCTATGGTTGAAGAACTAGAAGTTTAGAACCTTGTTCTAACATTTACTTGATCTCGGTTTAGATTTCTACAATTTGATTGGGTTTGGCTGCAGATAAACATGACCCCTGTGTGTTATACCTAGATTAAGTGAATAAATTGGAAGATAGATTGACGGAATTGTTGTTGTATGGATGGGTTGTCTTTGGAAAAATGAATCCAATGCAATATTTTTGAACCATGAGAACCTGATGGAAATGGAACTAACACCCATTGAAGTAGGTTTCGTGTCAATTATGTAATTTCTTCTACCAACAAATAAAATAAAATAAAATGTTTATTATGTAATTGCTTCCAAAACAGAACATGCCAAAGATTGGAAGTAGCAGTTGCTGATAACAAAGGATCAGACATAAGCTCATGATGTAGATCAAAACATCCTTCAACAGCGTAATTAATTCCATGTAATCAAGATTCATTAAAATCACACACAAAAAAATTTACTAGAATTTTCACTAGAAAAGCTTGTATCGGTAATATATTGAGGTCCACAATCTCTGCCACATTTAATTTTCACAATTGACACAGAAAACTTGAGCTTGTTTTCCAATAAGTAGAAACCACATATGAATGGCTGTAGGTACAAAACCTTGGTCTCACCTAGAAACACAGCCTAACCTTTTGTGTAACTCTCATGTACAACACTCATTCCAGACCATTAATCAAATGGGGTAGACACCTAAAATTCCAAATTACATCAAGGACATACCAATCCTCAGTAATCTTATGTAGTACTGATAAATGTGTAGGACCAAAGATACTTGAACCTCAAGAAAATCTGCTTATGTTGCTTGCAATTACATCTCTGGTAAACCAATATGAGACAAAAGGTACCCTGCATTGTTCAAGAATCTACCGTTCTCTTACCCAAGAATGCTTCAATCTGTCATGTATGAGAGGATATTAACTTCTTTTTGAGGAAAGATGAGTAAGAATTTTATTGCACAAACACAGAATAACATAGCACAACAGGCCCCTGGATCAGGAGGACAAGTAAAGCAATAAGAGACTTCAACTAGAACTGAAACAAAATAAACTGTGCTGTCTGCCTGAACCTTTGCACCATGTCCGTGAATGTATATGTTAGTGGAATTTTTTTTAGTATAATTTCTCACATAACATAATTCACCCAATTAGACTAATAATTGGGTTTTTTTTTTGTTATTTAGGTAAGCCCCATTCGGAAATCACGTGGATATTCCCTTAATTACATCTCTGTTACGGGCAGAGAAAACCTTTTGATTCTGATTCAGAAGTACCAATGAATAGAGACTAACCTAAGTATCATTTTTCTACAGAATTTTCCTTTGAAAATTCTGGTATATATTCCCTCTTTGTTTGAGAGAAAACCAGCAAATAAAATAAACTTTTTATACATAACAAGTAAATAGGTATCATAAATAGTCATATTTCATCAATAAGGGTGCAAATGACCTTTAAATTGTGATTATATGCATTTATCATGGTGTGAAGAACCATAATCAATCAAGTTTCATGAACAAGGTTGCAGATGGTTTTCCCCCTCATACATAGGTTAATAGGTTGTGAGGAACCATAGTCAGCCAAGTTTCATGAATAAGGCTGTAGATAGTTGTTTCCCTCACATATGATTAAAATGAGACAAGGAGGAAAAAAAAAGGAAATAATAACAACAAAGAAGGAAAGTGTGTGAAAGGAGTATAATGAAAGACATAAGTCTAAAAAAGGAAGTTGTAGAAGTATCATAATGAAGAGGTGGAGGAGGAATACTATAATCCCTACTTCTTTCTCATCTTCTCCCTTTTCTTCCACACCACAATCTTCTCTTCTTTCTCCTTTGGTTTGTCTCTTGTTGTTGTAAATTCTATCAACTAAATAGAATTAACCAACAAAAAGGCATTAGCCCCTTCTCCTTGTAGGAGAGGGGTTTATATAGAGGAGGGAGGTGGTTAAGTAATTCCCCCTCCTCTTTTCTTAGAGTGCCAAGTGTCACCCCACTTAAAATGGGTTAAGGAGGGAAAAGAAAACTCTTCCTTCCTAAGGTGACAAGTTTCCCCCCCACTTAAAGTGAGTTAGAAGAGGGAAAATAACTCTCTCCCCTAGGGTGACATGTGTCCCCCCCACTTCAAGTGGTTAAAGGAAGGAAAATAAATCCTTCTTCCCAGGGTGACATGTGTCCCCCCCACTTAAAGTGGTTAGAAGAGGGAAAATAACTCTCCCCTAGGGTGACATGTGTCCCCCCACATCAAGTGGTTAAAGGAGGGAAAATAGCCCTCTTGTTAAAATAGGGCAAATGGCATCCCCTTATAAATAATTGGGACTCCTCACAAGAAATTAATTAATAAGGATTTATTATTCTTTTAGGGCCTGTCGTTCCATTAAATGGGCTCTACTGCAGGCCCATTAAATGCTTATTGCATTACAAACAAGCCCAATTAATTTGGGGTCTGTTGTTCACTAAATTAGACTGTAGGCCTTTTTCTTTATTAAAATGTTTCAGCCCACCAATAGGACTGACTGGGCTAATAAGAAAGCCTTTTTTTCTTCTCTATTGTTATTTTTTTAAGCTATGTCCGGGAGTATCTTAATAACCTGCTCCCAGTCCAGCAAACTTAAGGACTTAACAGTATACCTGTTACTTAAAGTGATTAGAAGAAAACAGATATTATATTTCCCTAGCTTTTTGGAAATGCCCAGAAAAATCTAATCTCAGAACTTGTTTGGGTGTGCACCACCAAAAAACATAATGCAGTATGTATACTTTAAGTCCTATAACTGCATTTATATTAGCACCAAAGCCACATCTGACATGGCTTTAAGACTTGAGCTTGCTATGATGCAATAACTATTTCTCTGTTTCGGTGAACTAAAGCATAGACTTTTATTGAAACATATCAATAAATGAAAATCTACATTGGATCAATATAATGGGACCTATGAACTAATGGAACAAGACAACGTAGAATCTACAAGCATTCAATTTAGGTGGAAAAATTAAGATGCAAACAAACAGAAGTCTTTGGTGTTTAAAAAGGTTCTGATGATTGCTAAGACCTGCTGAACAAACCATTTCATTCTGCACTGACTACAATGTAAGTAACAGTCAAAGTATGATAAGATATAGACACCACCTTCTATACGAGGGATGGAAATCCTACCAATATTTAATTGAAAGGATATAACAAAGGCAACAGTTGAGAGGTATTGAATTATATTAAAGCTCAAGCTTCTTCAACTACATTTGGTTGCTTTGGCTTTTATGTCCTAAAGAATTTAAGCTGGATAATTGCATTTCCTTACAAATGCATAACTTTACCTGGAATATCTGATGGATTAGGATGTTGCTGTTGAGGACTGGTTAGCAATCGGATGACATGGGAGGGTTTTGATGACCAATAATACTTTGAGTTCTTCAAAGCCCAAGTGCAGAATTATTGTGGGATGCTTATCTGCCAGGTAGACTGACTTATCTCCTATTTTGGGTCCAAATTGGTCATTCAGCTCAAGTGGTAGATGCCATATGAAGTGGCACCTGTTTATTCATGTTACTTGGATAGAGCCTCCGAGATCCATATTGTATACGGGTGACAAAATCTCTACCCTGCCAAAATAGGAAAGAGAATATCAAAAACACAAGAAAAAGAAAGAAAAATAATAAACAGAAGAAGGAATTATATGAAGTCACCAGATTGGAACAATAAGGAACCTCAGTGGGGATTTGTTTTGGAAATTTTATGGAGGGATCCATATCAAATTTCCAACCTCTGTCTGATAATGAAAAATGACCAAAGCCTTGCGCACAAATATGAAATATCTTAGGCCATTGCTTTCCAGTATCCTTTTTGTAAAGTTTCTCCAGGTGAGGACATTTGAATAAATCTAGTGTCTGAAGATTGGGAGGGAGACCCTCTCTTGGTAAAGATTTGACCATACGAGCATTTCTGATGGCCAAATATTCCAAAGAAGTAAGCTGATGCAGATGAAGCTCTCTAAGGGACTCAAGATTCTCAAGATCCAACAGCTGAAGCTCTCTAAGAGAGGAGGGCAAAAACCCCTCCCCCTCCTCTCCCTTTTCAGAAAAAAAGGACACGAGGCCAGGACAGTTGCTTATAGTCAATTGTTCAAGAGAAGCAAGTTTGTTCAACTCCAAATGCTTGGGTAGGGTATCCCTATTTTCACCAAATCCGCCAATTACAAGTCTCCTTAACTTTGTGGGCAACCCACTTTCTGGAAAGGTAACTAGGTGTCGACATACCAATATGCGTAATTCCTCAAGTGTCGTCAAGTTATTCAACTCCATAGGTAAAGACTCAAGATTAATGCAGATGGTGAGACTAATTTCTTTCAGAGCAGGCCACCGTCCACCTGGAAAATGCACTAACAGAGGACATTGATGAATCCACAATGTTTGAAGAGATGTGAGCTTGTCAAGCCAGCCAGACATGGTAGGGAATTCAAAATTACTACATTCCAGAATGGAAAGAGTTTTTAGTGAAGTTGGCAACAACTGACCTTCTCCCTCAACTGTTGTAGAAGATAATGTGAAACCAGGACAGTTAGAGATCAATAGAAATTCAAGATGAGTGAAATTGTGGAGGCCCATGTTAAAGAATTCCAATCTCTTACAAGAGCTAATAAAAAGAGTTTCTAGTTTGGGAGGCAATGTCATAGATGTGAGGCTAGGAGTGTTCTCAATATGCAAACCCTCTAGTTTAGTGAGCTTATGAAGATGTGGCAAGGTCTCTAATTCAGGACATTCAATAACTTTCAGAGATTGAAGAGAGACTAGGTATTCTAAACCCGTGATCTCTTTCTCAAGATTAGAACAATTTTGAATCACCAATTGTTTAAGTGCTGTGAGAGATTGCAACAACTGCTCAGGTAAATACACGGGCCTCTCAGTATTACCAATGTACAAGGAAGAGAGAGAAGGCAATTTGGGCACCCTTGTCAACAGTATTTCCATGTACACATTCATCAACACTAGTCGACGGGGACTTGGAATCCATGGAAGAGCTACCAATTCTACACATTTGTCTATTACCAAAATTTCCAAGCTTGGAAGGCGTTCTGGCAATTCCTTCAATTTGGGACAGTTTCTCATTTCTAGGCCAAGAAGTTTAGGAAATTCACCATTATCTTTCATGGGCAGAGAAGATGATGATGATGATGATGATTCATGTGAGACAATCATGCGCCTTGAAGGAGCAGTTAGATCTTGACAATTTTGTAATTTCAAGACAACCAAGGCAGGAAAACAATACGAAGGAAATCTGCCCAATTTAGGGCAATCTTCAATTGTAAGCAATTCAAGGCAAGGGAATAATATTTCACATTTAGAGTCTTCCTTTTCTTGATCTTCTCCTCCAAAATACCATTCCACCCACTTATGGTTTCTCCTGAATGCAAGTGTTTCCAATGATTGAAATCCCTTCCCATAAAACTCCTGCCCAATATACCTCAGCTTATCCATGCCCTCTATTGTGAGATGCCTGAGCATGGGTAGCTCCCCAAGAAGAGGGAGGACCTCAATTTCTTTACAATCAATGAGTTCAACTACCTCTAGTTTAGAAAGTACCCCAATCCAAGTTGGAAACCTCAATCCATAATAGTTTCTGATATATAGTCCCTTGAGGTTAGAATGAGGTTGCAGAAACTCAACTATTTCTTCTGCTAATTGAATTCTTCCACCTTGTGAATCATCACTCCAACGTAAATCTAATGCCTGAACGTGTTCTTTATTATTCAAATTGGCCTCCTTGACATCATGAACTGTGAGCGCATTTTCCACTCCTGCAATAAGAAGTCGTTCTCTGAGGTGTTTCAAATTCCGTAACTCTCCAATTCTGCAACACCCTCTTTTATTTCCAACAGCAAACTCAGCCAATGTCCGAAGACTAGTTAGGCTTCCCATTCCAGGTGGCATTGCCTCTACCTTCCAACCATTGGGAGCAAGGACATGCCGAAGATTAACCAGATTGTGTAGGCCATTAGGTAATCTACTAAGACAAGAAGGAAGTATTATAGATTGTAAGTTATAGAGGCTACAAATTGATTCTGGCAACCATGTAATGTCAAGGTTTCTGACATCAAGGTACCGTAAGAGTCTTAAATTACCAATTGAATCTGGCAGCTCATTGAGACTACCATGCAAGCACAACACCCGTAAGCATCTCAATGAAAGAAATAGATCATCAATGTGCTTGTCATCATACAATATTTCATAGTATCGAGGTTGGAAATAAGTACGCAGAGACTTTGCTTCACAGAATGCATTAATCTTTATTTGTTGACCTTGTATGGGACAAAATGATGCATGGCGAGCCCTTGGAGGAATTTTGCACTTGTTACCTTCTGATCTAAAGCATGTATCATTTGAAACAGATTGTGCTAAATCATGAATGAGGTCATGCATCACAAACTTTGTTTTGTCGTCACTACTATATTGAAAAAATGACCTTGATAACAGATCATCAAAGTACTCCTCACCAATGTCTTCCATTTGCTTTTGTCTAGTAGAGCTTAGAAAGCCTTCTGCCATCCACAACAAGACTAACTCCTCTTTCTCAAAAACATAGCCCTTGGGAAAGATGGAACAATAAGTAAAACATTGCTTCAGGTTTGAAGGGAGATATTGATAGCTCAATCTCAGAGCTAGCAAAACATTGCCTTTCTCTTCTGGTACATTCCATTCGTTACTATCCAGAATATATTGCCAGTCCTTCTCGTCAACTTTGGAGCGCAAGAGGCTTCCAAGCGTCTTCACTGCAATAGGCAAACCTTTACATTTTTTCACAATTCCCTTACCAATTTCTATCAAATTTGGTTGTTCATTGTTGACTGCAAATGCACGTTGCTTAAACAATAACCAACAGTCATCATTTGATAAACCTTTCAGAGAATAAGCAACAGTAGTGCCCATGACAGATGAAACAACTGTACTTCGTGTGGTTACTAAAACTTTACTTCCTTGTTTTCCAAATGTTAGAGGCGCTTGCAAGGTTTCCCAGTCATCGCAATTCTCATTCCATACATCGTCTAAAACAAGTAAAAATCTCTTTCCAATCAATGTCTTCTGAAGTTTAACTTGAAGTGGTTGTAACTGCAATAGATCACAACCTTCCCCTGTCACAGACTCAATAATCCCTTTAGTTATGATGCTAACATCAGCTTCTGTTGACACATAAAACCAGGCTTTGATGTCGAAGTGCCCCTCAAGCCTCTTGTCATTGTATACAAGTTGAGCAAGTATTGTCTTGCCAAGCCCACCCATTCCCACAATTGGGATTACCTCAAGCCCTCCTCCTCCTCTCTCTCCATTTGATAACAACAACTCAACAATGTTGTTCTTATCGTTTTCTCGGCCATAAATACCAGATTCATCGACTAAGGAACTTGTTTGTCGTCTCTGTGAGATGGGCACCCCCATCCCTCCGGTAACTTGAATCAAATGGAGCCGATCCCTTTCATTAGTAAGTTCCTCTAATTTTAGGGTGATCTCCTCTATCCGAGATGCCATCCCAGGATAATCGAACTTATTCATCTTCTTTTTTACTGATATGCGATCCTTAGCCTTATTGATCGGACTGCAACAGAGGAAAGAAGTTCGTACCTCATCTTTTTCAGCCTTAATATCTGATTCCAGTTTGGATCGTCCAACCTCAGTTGCATACTCGTCCAAGACGTCTTCTGCATCATAAATGAGATGCTTGATTTCTTCCAACCACGCCTTCACCTGGGTGCTATCGCTCTGTTTTCTCTCAGCATCATCGACCATGGCCTGCAGATTCTTCAACGTAATTTCTAGCTTTCTGAAGTTTACACCAAGGTTCCTTCTTGGCTGAAACACCTCGAAAATCAAAGGGCCCAACTTCTCCAACAACAACCCAACAGAAGCAGAGATTAGTGCTTCTATCACAATAGACATTCTCTTAATTGGTAGTAGAAACTAGAAAGAAAACAAAGAAGAAACTAGGGCGTAGCAGAGACGAATGGGTTTCTATGAGAATGAAAAGACTCACTATCAAGGTATCTCCAATCGATTACAAAATCCCAACCGGCCCAAACATGGACTGAATCACAAGATGTAGAATTTAAGAAGCATATTTCAACCTTTTGTGCTGTTGTCGTATTTTCTCCTGCACTTGTCAACCTTTTGGGCAGTCCACGTGGGTCGGAAATGTGGCTTCACAGTAGTCGGTAGCTAATTACCATGAGCCGAGTACAACGTTTTAGGTCATGCTAAGCTGCGATTTTGAACTGTGAAGCTATCGCCAATAATGCTGGAATAAAGCTAGTTGGGAATTAACCGTGAGGTTTCAGGAATATACTTCGTTTAGAAATTATTTTGCTATTAAAAGGAATGAAAAGACTCTTCTTGACTCTTAATTGTTCTTCAAAATTTCAAAATGTACCTCGGAAGAACAATATGACAGTCAAAGCCTGATTTAAGCACCGACCTTCCACTTACAGAAGATAGTTCCTTTTCTCTCACTCACATTTCAGTATTTCTCTGAACAAATCAATGCAGGATTGGACTCAAGCTTCTTACTTTCTTAGTACAAAGCAGCAAATCAGGATACGGAATGTTAATACTACAAATTATTACCACTTGACTGGCAATGGGTTCAGTGGTATTTCAGCAAACTCATCTGTTTCTGCACAGGTGTGTGACTTGTAAACAGTGGAGCATAACAGATATGGTATTCTATCCTCCGTAGATGAGATGTGATTACGAAGATATAGCACGAGTTCGTGGGATCTCAGCTCGGGTTCTTTTCTTTTCAGTATGGTGGGCCCAAGGCTATGTCGTAATTGTCGCTCATGATCTCTCTGCCACTCAGTCTTAGGTCAGGTCGGGTCATGCATTATGTCAAAGTTATTTATTTAAAAAAAATTAATAAAAATTTTAAAATTTTAATTTTATATAAATTTTGTGTATAAAATTGTTTATATATATAATAATTAAATAAATTAGTATAATAAATTAAAAAAATATTTATTTTATTAATATATTATATACTATATATTATTATATATTTATAATTTATATAACTATATATAAAATACATATAAATATATATATGGGCTATGCTGGGTCGTGCCAGTCTGTGGGCAGAACGGCCCGCTCGGTTGTGCCAAGCCGTGCTGGCCAATAGACTTAATTAAATAAATTAGTCTGAGAACTTACCATTTATATATTTCATGGTTCGGATTTCTGAAATAGGGGTTGCGGACGGTACGGCCCACTCAGTCGTACCGTGCCGTATTGGCCCATGAACCTAAAATCCCAAGCCCAACACGGCCCGCATAGTCATGCTGAACCTAGTACAACCTGCGGACCGTCATGCCGGGCCACGGACGACACAGCCCAATTTACACCTCTAGTCAAACTTTAACATATGCTTTCTGTGTATACATCGATCTCAGAGCTTACCATTTATATATTTCATGGTTCGGAATTCTGAAGCAGGGGTTGCGGAAGCTTTAATTTGTTTAAAAAACTGCTGCACCATAGATAGAGTGGAGGTTTCGGTGAGATTTCAGCATATGTCAGCCTTTTTTAGACTTGTGATCCACAAATCCAAGTGTTTCTGTTCTTGCTGTTTCCATCGATGCTGCTATACACGCTGCAGTTCATATTCCTTGCTCTATGTATTTTTTTTATTCTTTTGCATTGTTTAAAATAATAAAAGATCTTGTTAATTCATTCAAGCTACTAATCCTTCTTTAAAGTTTTTCCTTTTCTGTAATTTGTTGAAACCTCATACTCAACTCAAAGCCATGGGCTATATGGTGTAGTTTCTTTTTCTCAGATTTGAATTTTTCTATAGGGCAAATCTCTTAAAAAGCACTTACTAAGTTTTAGTAAATTGATTTGTTCATCCCTGATGTTTATAAATTGCCCTAAATTATCTAAGTTCTTTGACAATCCTCAAATTGCCCCAAGTTGTCTAAGGGTCCGTTTGGTTCGTAGTTTCGATTCCGATTCCAAACCCCTATTCTACTAAACCAAACCGATCCTAAGTTCTTTAGTTCTTTGACAATTCTCACCCTGTTAGTCATTCCATCATAATCTGTTTACATGTGTCATCACGTGATATAATATTTTTTAAAAAAACCAAAATTATTTTCTGTAATTGATTTTGCCTTTAATTGTTGTTCAAATTTTCAAAATAAAATCTAACGGATTGAAATAAGATTTTTCCGAGAAAAAAAAAAACATGCGAAAGCCAACAACATCAAATGGGTAAGTAAAATCAGTTTCATAATCTTGAAATTTATTGTTTCCTAATTGCTTAAATTCTTCTCTCTAATTTATACATAAAAGAAATTATGTTTTTCCTCTTTTTCTCTAATGTTGTGGGAATAGTAAAATTACTGGGCTTCCAAGAATCTCATTTTTATTGAAACTTTGATTTTTCCTATTATCTGACACCTTATTTCTTTATCTAATTGTTCTCTCTTTGATCTCCTTAAATTTCCTATTGCGTACATTTTTGTTATGCATCAAGTAGCAATGTCGGTTTTACTTAATAACACTGTTAAATATTAAGTACTGCTTTGTGATTAATAATTACTCATTAATTATTTCTTTGACTATTAATTACTATTTTACAAATAATAATTACTGATTATTAATTAATTAAATCATGTTTGATATTAATTTAGTATTTACTAAATTAATTACTGATTAATAAATACTGTTAATAAATCATTATTATTACTTTAGTAAATTAATTTACTAAATTTAATATTTAGTATTTAGCATTAAACTTCCAGAAATGCTTTAGCATTTTCTGATTATTAATTAATTAATTAACAATTAATATTAATTTATTATTTACTAAATTTACTGATAAATACTGTTCATAAATACAGTATTGACTAAATTACTATGAATTTAGTAAATTAAAAATTATCAATTAAAAAATACTAATTAACTAATTATTTATTATTAATTAGCTAATAATTAATAATATTATTATTGGTTATTAATTAATAATATATTACTTTTTATAATTACCAGAAATATTGTTCATAAATTATTTTAATTTATAATTACTATATAAATATAAATTAATATTAATTTAGTAATTACTAAATTAAGTACAGATTAATGAATACTGTTAATAATTAAACATAGATTATTATCTACTAACTAATTTTTTTTAATATTTGATAGTAATTTTCCAGAAGTACTTTAGTATAATTTATTATAATTACCGATTATTACTGATTGTAATTAGTAGAAATATTAAAAAATAACCACTAAATTGCAGAAATTACGATAAATTACCATAATTTAACAATAACCTATCATATAATAAGTATAACTAAATACGATTATCAAATAAAATAGCAAAATTATAAAAATGTTGATTATTAATTAGCTAATAATAAATAAATAATTTATTAAATTTCCATATTTAATATTAATTTAACAGATACACTTTTAGTATAATTTATTATAATTACCGATTATTACTGATTGTAATTAGTAAATTATTGTTAAATAACCACTAATTACCATAATTTACAAATAATCTATCATATAATAAATAAAAAAATATATATTTACCAAAATATATAGATCGTTAATAATTAAATACTTAATAAATGTCATTAATAAATATCAGCAAAATAATGTTTGAATTTTACTAAAAAATATCATAAATTTGTAGAAAATGTCCAAAAATATAAAAAAATGTGGATTATCAAATAAACTAGTAAAATTAAACATAATAGAGTCTTATTAAATTACAAAGTTTGTTTAATTAAAATTTTAACTAAGAAACTAAAATTAAAAATTAACTTGCTTCTTTATAAAATTAATAAAAAAGAGTAAAATGATAAAATAATATAGGTTAGTAATTTTTTCAGCTTTAATGTTTATTATCAATAAATTGTACACAAAATAATTAAAATGAAAATAAATACAAAAAAAAAGTAAAAATTATAATTAAAGTACAAAATACTAAATATAAAAATAAACTGAATAACAATAATAAAAGTAATAAGATTTGTTTCTCTTAACAAACATTAATGTTAATAATTTTAAATTAAGTAGAATTTCAATATATGTATGACTAATAAAATGTAAAAATAAAATTAATGGACTAGCCCTGAGAATCAATAACCCTTAATTAAATTAAATTAATTAACTAAGATTAACTAAATAGTTATTAGTTAAATTTGTGTATGTTTAACTTATACAAGTTATTTAAATAGTTACTTTTATTTAGTTAACTTACTTTTATTAGTAAAGTAGGAATTTATTAATTAAGTTTCTTATTATTTAGTTAAATAATTATAACTTAATTAATAAATAATGCATGTTTATTAATAAAACAATAAAAAAGTATGAAAATTTTAGTTTAAAAATTAAATATTATATTTTGATATCTATTTAAATTTCATTCAAAAACTAAAATGATACTATAAGTTTGTTAATAAAGTTAAAAAATTAACAAAGTTATTAGTCTTAAACTTAATTATTTTTAATTTAAAATCCACTAATCTACTAAATAAAAATTTAGTAAAAGTCAAAACAATTTAGTAAAAAATAAAATCTAGTACAATTAGGAAAATCACAATGCTCCTTCTTGGGGTGCAACTTGGGTGAGTTGGGTTGGGTTGAGGGTCAACCCAAGCCCAACCCTAATTTTTAAACCTTGAGCTTAGGCTTGTCCCAACTGATGGTTGAGATTTAGTGTACCAACCCATGCCTAATTTGAGCTTAATCCAACATCTTGGGTTGGGCCTTTTGAGCTTTGTAGCCTAAAGTTTTGGATAGAATAAATTGATAACATGTAGATATGTATATTATAAAATGTTGGCCTGACTCAAATTGGGTCGGGTTGAGTTGGGTCGGGCTACCCAAGACCTTAATTCAAGCCTAACCTGAGTTTTTTGGTTTGAGACCAACTTGAAGTTCTAAAACTCAAGCCCAACCTATGCAAAAGCTTTGGACGAGTCGAGTAGGGTTCAGGTTGGGATCATCCAAGTTGCACCTCTATCCCATTTTGCTTTAAATTCTTTTGACAAAGTCCATGCATTGCACGGGTCCACACTAATATATATATATAGTAAGATGGTCCATGTCACCATGCCTCTCTTTGCTCCAACCCCCCATGCTGCTCTCTCCTTCCCCCTTCTTAGCCCTCTGTTAAGCCAAGTCAGCAATGATTTTAGCCTCTCCCATTAGGCCACATCATCTCTTTTCTCAAGAATTTGAATCTTAAAAGAACTCTTCAATAAATCATACTTATCAAAGAACTTTGCTACTCTCTCCTTTTTATTAGAGAAGTGGCCAAAAAATTAGGAATCTATTTCATATGGG